AAGCCCCGCCCCTCCCCCCGTGGTGCCGCCCAGGCCCCGCCCTACCTTGATGGTGAGAAAGGCAATGTGGGAGAACTCCTTCACGAAGCCGGCGATCTGCTCTCCGCTGTCCCCGTAGTCCACCAGCCAGGGCCGGCGCTGCACCTCCATCTGCCCCGCCAGGAAAGACATCAATCAGCCCGCGGTGGCCCCTCCGCCCCGCTCACAGCGCCGGCCGGGCCTCGGGAGCCCGCAGCTCCTGGCTGGGTTTGTCCTCCGGCGGCCGGAGCCACGCATGCGCACACGCACACCCGCCGCTCCCCGTCTGCACCTGCCTCACCTTCTGGTTCAGAGAGTCCACAAACCACTCATCGCCCAAGAAGTTGCAGGCCATGTCCACATCTCCATTGTACAACAGGATCTGATACTTCTGGAATGGGGCAGGGGAACACGAGGGGTCCGGAATGAGCCAAGGCCGCAGCTCTTGCCTGGGTCAACCCCCGACCTCCCGGAGTTCAAGGGGCCCAGCGAGATCGCCTGAACCCGGATATTCTCCTCTTTGCTGACATCCTTACCACGTGTCTGGTGAGCCTGAACTAAACACTTTGGCCATGAAAGTAGATGTTGAGATTATCCCCATTTTATAGCTGGGGAAACTGAGGCAGCGGCCATTTAAGAAACTTGCCCAGGATCACATACCTTGTAGAGGGACAATGCTGTTAACCATTGTGCCGGTCCTGTGTGACCTGGGACAAGGCTGTGTCCCCACCCTGGACCTCTGCCCTTCTGTGACAAGATACCCCAACTTCTTCTCACCCTAAAGGCTCCTGGGCCGAGGCAGACCCCGGGCCTCCTCCAGCAGAGTACGACGGGGTGGGGACAGACCTCAGTTCAAATCCTGACCCCACTGACCCCAGGGCCTTGGGCACATGACTTCACCACTTGGGGCTGCAGCTTCCTCAGCCTGAGGGGCGCTCTCAGGGGGTCCCCAGCAGTGCTGCCCCGGCACCTGTGAGTTGAGCAGCTTCAGGTACTGGGAGTTCATGCTTTGGTAGAGACGGCGGTACTGAATGTTCACCAAGAAGCTGCCGGGAGTAGGTGGGCAGGCCCCAGGACGGCCAGGGAGGGGGAGAAGAGAGACGACAGGTCAGACCTCTCCTGCCCTAGGTGGCAGACGGCTGGGTTCCAGCCCCCTCCGTGGGTGTCACCTGTCCAGGGCTTCTGGAATTCGGATGCTGAGCCCACCCCCATTCAGAAGTGCACAGGCACTCTGGTTGCTATGGCGACCAGGATGCAGCTGGCATTCCATGCCTGGGGGCCAGCAGGCAGTGCAGCGTGCGTACTGAGCAGTCAGAATGGACCTCAGGGGCCCCCGCCGTGCCAGGCGCCACCTTTTACCTGGGGTGGGGTCACAGGAGATCTGGGCAGCTGGGGACGGTGTCCGTTAACTGACTACCGTGGAGTAACGGACACTGACAAGCAGTGCGGCCCTGAAGGATGAATGGGCTGAACGGCAATGGGCCCCCAACTCCAGCCCCCACCCCCTGCTCACAATGGGTGGGAAACACCCTGCACGACCAGGAAGTGTCTTGTCCTGAACGCCCACAGCGTCCCCTGGGAGAAACCCGAGCCAGAGGGCCCCCGGCGGCCTGCGGCCCTGAGCCCCAGGCCCCCACAGGGCCCTCACTTGCACATGTCCCAGCTGGGCAGCTGCTCGGGGATGTGCAGGGCCTTGCGCACGTAAGGGTTGTTGAGGTAGGTGGAGGCGGCCGTGGTGTTGGTGCAGGGGGGGTCCATGTGCACCTTATCCCCAGTACGCAGCAGCAGCTGGGGGCACAGAGAGGGACATCAGGCTCTGCCTCCCTGCCTCCCCCGGCCCCGACCCCACGGGGACGAGGCCCAGGCCCTCGCCCACCTGATGCCACGTCCGCTTGAGCGGCAGGCGCGTGAAGAGGTTGCCTAAATCCTGAACCACCAGAGTGTCCTTCTCATACCTGCAAGGGAAATGGGTGCAAGGGGGCCGGGCCTCCAGCTGGGACTGGGGTTGGGCCTGAGCGGCGTGGGGCCACACCCACCTCACATGGCCGGGCACGCCCCCAGCACACGGGGCGTACAGGTTGTAGATGTTGAGGCCCGAGTTGCCCACGATACGAGACACCTCCTGAAGCTGCAATGACACACCCAGCCCCTGAGCTTTCCAGACTCCAGCCCTCGCACCCCTCAGGGCTCTCCGACTCCACTTCTGTCATCACTCTCCACCCGCTCTGAACAGGGGTAGGAAAACAGGTTTGGCGGAAGCAATCTTCCAAACCCGGAAGCACCATTGTTTTTCCAGGCAGGTGACTTCCACATTCTGGGCCTCAGTTTCTCCATCTGGAAAATGGGGAGACACAACTATCTCCCATGAAGGAGCCGTGGTTCAGCTCAGTACCTGGCACAGCACAGGGATCTGAGAAACAGGAACCCCCCCACCCCCACACACAGAAGCTTCTGAAAGGTGACAGGGGACGAGGGGTTGAGAGTCCCCCAGGGAGGGGACGTGGCCCCATTGTCAGGGCAGGGCCGGTGCGGGGTGGGGGGGAGGCTCACGCTGGTCACGCATTCTGGGTCTTTGTTGTCGTAGAAGTTGCACTTGTTCTGGGAGCAGCAGTGGGTCTGCAGGGAAGACCAGAGCCTGTGGCAGACCAGAGAGAAGCGCTCAGGCCCAGTGGGCAGGGGAGGGGGCGGCGGCCACCCACCGTCTCCCTGCCAAGCCCCATCAGGTCTGATCTGGGGGACTGAGGAAGACCATCACAGGCGTGACAGGCAGGTCTCCAAGCAAGCTGCCCGGGGGCCGGCCAGCACTCCTGCGCCCCTGTGAAGTGACCTGCAGGCTAGCCTTGTGGCATCCAGCCCTGCCCACAACCCCACCCCCCACCCACAAACCAGGGCAGGGCTGGGGTTGTCACACATTTGGCACGAGGGCTGCAATCCTGACCCACCCCGCCCGAGAGATTGCCCAATCCCCCTCCTTCCATACCGGTTCCCCAGAAGGCCGTGGTAGTAGGCAAAATAGACCAGCGAGTTGTCATTCTGCTCGTAGGAGGAGAGGCCATTGCCCACAGCCAGCCCCTGTGGAACAGGCAGGGTGCTCAGCTCATCTGCACAGTGGGCAGGGCTGTGCCTGACACGTACCCAGCCCTGCTGCAATCCAGATGTTGAAACCCCAGCTGGATTGTGGGGGTGGAAGGGTGGGAAAATCCACGCAGCGTCAGGAAGGGAGTGGGCAGCCTGGCAGCTGAGCGCCCCATGCAGAGATAGGGAATCTGGTGGCAGGCAGAGCACGGCGGAGGCCGGGCTGGGTGGGGCGCCAGCCCGTGTGATCCGGCCAATGCCAAGGTCGCAGCTCCCCTTGCCTCCTGCCGCTGCCCCGCACCTGCAAGTTCATGCTGGGATCCTCCATGACCAGCACGGCCAGGGTGGGGATGTAGATGCCGGCATAGCTCTCTCCTGTCAGGAAAAGTTTGTTGTCCTTGTACTCCGGAAAGAGGCGGAAGAAATCTTTGAGGGCCTCGTAATTGTTCTGGGCAACCTGGGGGTGGCAGGAGGCAGGCAGGCAGTCAGCAGGGCTTTGGCTGTAACAGACCTCGGAGGTCATGACCACAACCCCCGCCCCGTGTGTGCAAGAGGAAGTGACTGGGCCCTGACTGCGCCACACAGCCCGGGGCCGAGCCAGGCCCGGGACTCCAAGGCCCAGCTCTCTGCACCTGCTCCATGACAGTTTGGACCACCCACGGGGCTGGGCCAGAAAGCTGCTGCCAGTCTCACCTCAGTGTCATTGGTTACATAAACCTTGTCATTGGAGTAGGAGAAGCCCACCCCAGCCGGGGACTCGATGTACAACACGTTGGCAATCTAGAGGGGAGGAGGCAAGAGGTGACAGGGTCCCCGAGCCCATCCCAGCGCCCAGGTGCCGCCCGCTGCCCACCAAGCCCCGGGCTCCGGCTATACCAGATTCCAAGAATAGGGGTTGTACTGCAGAGTGACACCGTCCGGCTGGATCTGAGAAGGGAGAGAGGTGGCTGAGGAGGTCCCAGAAGTCCCTTTCAGTGTGGGACCCCTCCCCTCGTCCGGGGAGGCCGAGTCAGCAGAGGCAAACAAGGAGGCCCAAGGACAAGGAGACCGGAGTCTTCCTCTCCCTCTTCCCCGGCGCCGCCTACTCACCAGGAAGGGGCCGTGCTCGGTCAGCAGCCCGTCCAGAGAGCTGCAGCCCGGACCCCCGTTGAGCCAGAGCACCACAGGGCTGCTCTTGGGGTCCTTCTGGGACTCCACAAACCTGGCGGAGTGGAGGGCAGGGCAGGACTGGACCCGGCGCAGGGGCTCCCAGGCGCCCCTAGAGCCCCGTCCCTCCCCTCCCCCTCCCCCGGGTGGGCTTCGCACCGCCTCCCCTCCTCCCCAGCCCGTCCTGGGCGCCGGGCGGCAGACCAGTAGTGGAAGTGCTTGGAGTCGGAGGCTCGCAGGTAGCCCGAGTACTGGCGGAAAGACGGCTGCTTGGCCAGCCCCGGGAGGCACTGGATCTCGTCCTGCTCCGGGGCTGCCTGGCTCCGGGGCGCACAGGACGCGACGAGCAGCAGGAACAGCGGCGACAGCGCGGCGCGGGCCATCTGCGGGAGCAAGGCGCGGGCGCCGGTCGCGGACTCGCGCCCCGGCTGCTCTGCACTTCCGCGCCGCCGCCCCTGGGGAGCACAGGGCGGCGCCCGGGCCCGGGAAGCTTCCGCCCGCCGAGCCTCCGCCGCCCCCGACCCAGGGGCTCGGGGACCACTTCCAGCTCCGGAGCCCCCTCACCTCTGCTCCCTCGCGTCTCTGCTCTCCAGGAGGCGCCGGGAGACAGGCAGTCATGTGTACTCCGAGTCACGTGGGCGCCGGCCTCACGTGACAGCCTTTCTCGGCCCCCGCTTTGGTCCCTGGGGATGGGGTGGGGGGCGGGGGCGGGGGCGGGCCACGTTGGGTCAAGGTCCTCCGGCGCCTAAGGTCGAAGCCCGGGCGCCTGCGATCAGATGACCTGGGTGTGGACCAGTCAGGTGTTCCAGCCTCCCGGGGCTCAGTTCCAAGCTGGATGGCTGGGCAAGCGGCGCTAGGACCCCCGGGCAGAGCCTCGGGCTGAGGGGGAATGCCTTACATGGTTTCTCCGCGGTCACCACGTCCTCCCGCCGCCCAAAATAGCCCCTGGCGCCTGTCCCCCTGCCTCATGGCCGGGACATGGCTGCTGCCTCCGAGCCCGTGCCGTTGGCCGCATCCTGGGGACCCGCACGCCCGGAGCCCCCTCCCACCCGCTTCCACCCTGTGCACGGCGCTAACATCCGCGTGGACCTCTCCGGAACACGGGCCACGCGCGTGGAGAGCTTCGCCCACGGCGTGTGCTTCAGTCGCGAGCCGCTGGCGCCGGGCCAGGTGTTCCTGGTGGAGATCGAGGAGAAGGAGCTGGGCTGGTGCGGGCACTTGCGCCTCGGCCTGACCGCGCTGGACCCCGCCAGCCTGGCCGTCGTGCCCGAGTTCTCGCTGCCGGACCTGGTCAGCCTCGGCCACACCTGGGTCTTCGCCATCACGCGCCACCACAACCGCGTGCCCCGGGAGGGCCAGCCAGCGGCTGAGGCACTGGCCCCCAGCCGGCCCCCGGCGCTCCTGGTGGAACCCTATCTGTGCGTCGAGCAGTTCCGCATCCCGCGGGACCGCCTGGTGGGCCGCAGCCGGCCGGGCCTCTACAGCCACCTCTTGGACCAGCTCTACGAGCTGAACGTGCTGCCTCCGACCGCGCGCCGGAGCCGCCTGGGCGTCCTCTTCTGCCCGCGCCGGGACGGCACCGCCGACATGCACATCCTCATCAACGGCGAGGACATGGGCCCCAGCGCCCGGGGGCTGCCCGCTGCCCAGCCCCTCTACGCGGTGGTGGACGTGTTTGCCTCCACCAAGAGCGTGCGCCTGGTCCAGCTCGAGTATGGCTGTAGGTATCCCACCCGCCCTGGGCAGCAGCGACCCCTCCTGGCCAGGCGCAGGGACTTCCCGGCCAGCGGGCTAGGCCGAGGCCCCTCTGTCCAGCACTGGCCACAGGTTGTCCCTCTCCTTGTGATTCTGCACAAAGTCCCTCCTGGCTCTGGGCCACAGCACACCCGCGTGGGCAGATGGATTAGGGCTCCCGCTTTGTTGTGGCGCTGCCTTCTGTGTCAACCTAGTGTGGGGATTTCAAAATGGTTTTAGATCTTGGGCCTCTTTGAGAGTTGGGTGCTTCCTCCTTAGGAAAACGCTCAGAGGTCGGGCATCTCAGCTGGAGGAACATCCCACACCCGACTCGGGGCTTCTTTGGCCTGAGGCTCGTTAGAGCCCCCCGAAATCGAGTTTATACCCCTGATGGTGTTTCATGAATTCAGGGAAGTAGAGCCCGCTCCGGGCCGCAGCCTCCAGCATAGGCCGTGTAGACACCACCTCCGGCCCCAGAAGCTGCCAGGAATCGGGGGAGAGGGAGTGTGCTGAGTTTAGGATAGAGACGGGGCGGGGGCGCTGTGAAAGACCTCATCCCCGTGGGCACCCCGGTGAGACAGCGGGGCCTGAGAGCTGATACAGACCCGCCCCGGGGAATGGCAGAGTGGGTGCCGAGACCCCGATGCTGACCCACTCTGACCGCCCCTCCCCGATCGGTGCCACTCCACCCTTCTCTCCGCAGTGCCCTCCCTTCAGACTCTGTGCCGCTTGGTCATCCAGAGGAGCGTGGTGCACCGGCTGGCCATCGACGGGCTCCATCTACCCAAAGGGCTCAAGGATTTCTGCAAGTATGAGTGATGGCCTGCAGCCCCCACCCCGGGGCAGGGCCACAGGAGCACACCCTGGCCCCAGAGCTGCGGGCTGGTCGGAAGCTGGCCACGGTGCTGCCAGCCAGGACCGGAAATAAACGCAGCCAGTGCTGACACTCTGATCCTTGTAGGATCTCCTTGCCCCTGGAACCTGTGAGAGACGCTTCTAGAATCATTGTGGGTCAGCAGGTCAGAGCTAGAGAGCATCTCAGACATTGTGCAGACCAGTGGTTCCTGGCCTGGCCACTGGCTGGCATTGTGGGATACTTAGAATGTCTAGTCCCAGGCCCTATCTAAGATTCTCTTTACACTTGTTGGAGGATTGGGTTTAGGGTTGAGTAGTGTGTGCTGGGAATAGAGGCTTCTGTTACAGCACACACGGTCATCAGCTGAAGAATTTTGAAAAATAGTCATACCTTGGGGCCGGCGCTGTGGCACAGCAGGTTAAGCCACAGCCTGCAGTGCCAGTATCCCATACGGGCGCTGGGTTGAATCCTGGCTGCTCCATTTCCAATCCAGCTCCCTGCTAATGTGCCTGGGAAATCAGCAGAGGATGGCCCCTGTAACTCTCAAATAAAAACAAATCTTAAAAAAAAATTAATAGTTATACCTGGATTCTGATATAATTGGTGTGGGATGAGGCTGGGTATCAGGCTGTCTTTTTATTTATTTATTTACTTATTTATTTGAAAGGTGGGATTACAGAAGAAAGAGGGAGAGACAGAGAGAGAGAGAGAGAGAGAGAGAGAGAGAGAGATCTTCCATCTGCTGGTTCACTCCCCAAATGGCCACAGCAGCTGGAACTGGGCTGGGCCTGGCTGAAGCTAGGAGCCAGGAGCCAGGAGCCAGGAGCCAGGAGCTTCATCGGGGCCTTCCACGTGGATGGAGGGCCCAAGCACTTGGGCCAGCTTCTGCTGCTTCCCCAGACGCATTATCAGGGAGCTGGATTGGAAGTGCTGCACCCGGGACTCAAACTGGCACCCATGTGAGATGCCAGCATTGCTGGCGGTAGCTTAACCCATTATGCCACAATGCTGGCCCTGCTTGCTTGCTTTTTTCCTCTCTCTCTCTCTCTCTCTTTCTCTCTTGCTTTTTTTTTTTTTTTATTTTTGACAGGCAGAGTGGACAGTGAGAGAGAGAGACAGAGAGAGAAAGGTCTTCCTTTGCCGTTGGTTCACCCTCCAATGGCCGCCGCTGCAGCCGGTGCACCGTGCTGATCCGATGGCAGGAGCCAGGAGCCAGGTGCTTTTCCTGGTCTCCCATGGGGTGCAGGGCCCAAGCACCTGGGCCATCCTCCACTGCACTCCCTGGCCATAGCAGAGAGCTGGCCTGGAAGAGGGGCAACCGGGACAGAATCCGGTGCCCCAACCGGGACTAGAACCCGGTGTGCCGGCGCCGCAAGGTGGAGGATTAGCCTATTGAGCCACGGCGCCGGCTCTCTCTTGCTTTCTTTCTGCTCTTATGTGAGTGGCAGGGCCCCAAGTGCTTGAACTATTACCTGGTGGCTCCCAGGAAGCTGGATTGGAAGCAGAGGAGCTGGAGTTGAAGCAGGCACTCTGTTATGGGATGCAGGTGTTGCACGTGGCAACTTGACTGCTGTGCCAAACACCCACCCCTGGATTTCTTTCTTTTTAAAATACGTATTCATTTATTTATTTGAAAGGCAGAGCAACACACACGGAGAGGGAGGGAGAGAGAGAGGTCTTCCATCTGCTGGTTCACTCCCCAAATGGCTACAATGGCCAGAGCTGCGCTGATCTGAAGCCAAGAGCCAGAAGCTTCTTCCAGGTCTCCTATGTGGGCGCAGGGGCCCAAGCACTTGGGCCATCTTCTGCTTCTTTCCTGAGTGCATTAGCAGGGAGCTGGATGGGAAATGGAGCAGCCTGGACTTGGCCCCGTGCCCTGTGTGATGCCGGCGCTGCTGGTGAAGACTTAACCTGCTACGCCACAGCGCCGACCCGCATCAGGATTTCTTAAAGCTGCCTGGGCCGAGAGCAGTGCTCTAGACCGGCTGTTTCGTTCTGCAGGAGAGAAACGCGGACCCAGAGAGGCCACACAGCAGATGGCAGAGCGCAGAGTCCTCTCATCTCCTGTAGGGCACAGGGCACTGCCCTGCCTTTCTTGGGTCTCTGACCACAGAAATGAGCTCATTTCATCCTCACAACTCCTCACGGAGTACTGGGCACTCACCCCCCACCCCTTACAGATGAGCTGTCAAGGCTGCAAGCGCCCACGTGACTTGACCCAGTCCGTGAGAGCCAAGAGCCTGGAGCACCCCGACTCTGGGCCGGGGTGCTTTACTCTCATGTCATTGTCATGTGCAGGTTCTAGAACACACAGCTCAATGCCATGAGGCAGGTTCCAGGTGTAAAGGGGAGGGACTATGAGGTGGCATTCTAGAAGGGTGGAGAAGTGGCACAGGAGGCAGAGAACTATTTCCTCACAAAGAAGGGCTTTGGGGCAGTCATGTCCTACTTCATGTCTCCACAAACTCAGCTAGGTCTTCTGCCTCCTGGCCAAGGTGAGCAACGAGCTCCTGGAACTGCAGGGGGCTTCTGGATCCGGGGTGCTGCCCACAGCGGGGAAGGCGGCTGCCTGCTCACCCCGGCCATTCTCCCCAGGTCCTGCTCAGTCAGTAACTAGTTACTCATTCATTCACTCAACAAACACTCCTCTGTCAGCTGCAGTGCTGGGACTAGGGGTGTGGATGTGAGCAAGTCTGAGTTGTTAACCCCTGCAGGGTCCTCTCGGGCTGGGTCTTATTTGGCCCTCCCAAACTCTGCTCCCCACGCGTTCCCTGCAGGGCTTCCTGCTGAAGGAGGCCAAGAATAACACTCCATCTCATTCCTCTCTGCAGGTGGGGCCGCTTCTCCTTCGCCCGGCTCATCCCTCCGGCTCTATAGTCCTGCAGAGCCGATGGTCATGGCCTCCGGCAGACTAGGCCTACTGAGCCAGAGGGCCGAGCAGGTGACACCTGCTGCCCAGGCCTGGGGCCCAGCCCTGGCTGGCTCCTCCGAAGCCAGAGGCTGCCCTGGGGGCACTGGCTGGGAGACTCTGGCAAGGAAGGAGTACAGCCATGCCCGATACTGCCACAAATTCCCTCCCTCGAGGCAGCCCGAGAGCTTGGGCTGGGAGGATGGCGGCTCTAGAACTTCCCAGCTGCGTGGCCCCAGCAGGCCGAGGCCCCTACTGCTGTGTGGGCTGTCACCGGGGGTTCTGCCCATGCCCTCCGAGGCAGGGGGGAAGGAGGCTGGCTCCCAGCCGGACATCTGCATCCTTACCCTGGCCATGATGATCGCTGGCATCCCCACTGTGCCCGTCCCGGGCCTGCGGGAAGAGGACCTGATCCGGGCGGCCCAGGCTTTCATGATGGCCCACCCGGAGCCAGAGGGGGCCGTGGAGGGGCGTGGCAGGAGCAGATGCGTTTCCACCCAGCCTTTGGCCAGATGCCTCTAGGGAGAGCCGGGAAGAGCCAGCCTCCGGCTTCTGCTTGTAGCTGGATGAAATAGCACCAGACACACAGGGTGGCTTCTCCGTATGGTTTTTGGGCACCTGGGGCTTGGGGGCCTATGGCAGGGATGGGAAAAGGCTGAACCACTCTGACAAATCCAGTCTTTCACTAGGGCCCGGACTGCGTGAGGTTTCTCCTGGTAACACCAAGGAGAGGTGTCTGATCTGCAGGAAGTCCTAGACAAGGTGAATTTTCCTCCTACCTTAAATCCCCTCGCCTGTTGAAGGCATGCGGTGGGATGGAAGACAAGGAAAATGAGAACTCAGTTGTGCACCCACTGGGTGTTCAACCCATTATATATTTTATTTACTTGTGAGGCAGACACACCGAGACAGAGCTCTCCCATCATTCCCCAGATGCCCACAGCAGTCAGCAACGGCCAGGCAGAAGCCAGGAGCCTGGAACTCAATCCAGGCCTCCAATATGGGTGTACTGGGGCCACTCCCTGCTGCCCCCCAAGGTGTATGTGAGTAGAAAGCTGAGCTCAGAATGGGAGCTGAGGCCTGAAAGCCCAGGCGCTCTGGCTGGGGCTGCGGGTCAAGTGGCGTCTGATTCTTTCATCTTACCCGCTCCGTGGGGACCCCGTTTCCCGAGATAAACAAACTGGGGCCTAGCGAGGGGACCTGGCCAAAGTTCCCAGAGTCCGTAAAGGCAGAAGGTGGCATCAAACATGAGGGTGGGAAAGAACCATGATTCACGTGTGGGGTCACCCCCCGGGCTTTTTTCTTTCCCCTGGCATTACTCTAACCTGGCTTCTACAAAACGAAACACTGGACAAGTGGAGCAATACGCAACATTCACCTTTATGGACCCCAGCGTAGGGCAGGGGCAAAAATGCTGGGAGCCCGGCCGAGCCACCCGCCCTGAGGGGCCTCTTCCTCTGTGGGAGGGCTCCTGGCCACCTCACTCAGGGGACATGGGGCAGATGATGTCTCATGACCACAGCAGCTGCCAGCAAGCCCAGCCCTCAATCTTATGGCCTGTTTTTTTTTTCTCTTATCTCAGACCTGGGCTCACCTGGATCTGTGAAGATCCTTGAACTAAGGAAACCAAACCAAGAACACAGAGGCGCTCTGGTTTGGGCTGTGGCCAGCAGGGTCTCAAATATTTACTGTGGGGCCCTGGGCAGAAAAGACTTGTGGATTCTGTCTCACGGAGATAGACACCTAAGAGCCTTGTCCTCCTTATTCTGGAAGCAGGGCTCGTGAAAAGCCCAGCGGCGTGTGGGGGGTCGCTGTGAGTGTGCACACGTGCCGGGGCCGGCCCTGGGCGCCGAGGGCGGTCAGAGCTGCACCTGCTCGTAGGGCCCGATCCAGCTGTCGGCCAGTTCCCGCAGGGTGCTGTACCGCAGCTCGAACTCCTCCTTGCTGCACTGCTGCAGGAGCCGCCCCACCTCCTCGGTGAGGAGGGTCACGGCCAGGCGCTTGTCCAGGGTCTCGCTCCACTTGCTGCCCAGGATGCCGCCGAGGCTGGTGGCGCAGCCGGCTGCCCACTGAGCCGGCAGCATGTCAGGCTGCAGCACCTGGCGGCGGGCGCTGAGCACGGCGAGGATGTGGCGGCAGGGCAGGTGGAAGGCCTGGTTGAAGTAGCAGCTGCAGCTGGCCGGCGGCTGGGGCTGCACCCTGTGGGTGTCCTCCAGGATCTGAATGTTCATCTTCTCCGAGCCGGAGCCGATGAGGTGCATGGACTTCTGGACCACGGCGAGCTCGCCCAGGCAGAGCTGGGCCGCTGGCCCCGTGCAGATGGTGTTGAGGGAGTGCTGGATGCGGGCTTCGACCAGCTGCTCCACTTTGGGGCTCTGCGCGCTAGCGTCCGAGAGGGCACCGCTGTCCTGGGGGCCCAGGCCCAGGGGGAGGCCTGCCTTGTTTTCGGAGTTCTGCATGTAGCGGAACAAGGAGGCCATGCCTTGTTTCTCGGATGCGGTGGTGCCGAAGAACTGGCTGAGGACGCGGGTGGTGACCTCGAGGCCCTGGAAGTAGCGGCTGCTCTCGGCCCGGCTCCGCCAGCGGTGGGCCAGCCAGATGCGATCGTTGAGCAGCCAGTGAGGGTGGAGCTCGGGCAGCCGGGCGGGCGGCACGCAGGTGCTCAGGAGGGCGTAGAGCTTCCTCAGGTTGCCGGCTGTGGCTGCGCACATGGTGCTCTGCAGGGAAGTCAGGAGCAGCGTCTCCACGGGCCGCTCCAGGCACAGCTGGTAGAACTTGCCCTGCAGGAACTTGCAAACGTGGAAGGCCGAGAGCAGGATCTCGGCTGTGGGGAACTCCATGGCTAGGGTGGGCAGCGGGAGGAAGTGGGGGTCCACCAGGATGGTACAGACCCTCTCCCACGCTGGGTTAAACGTCTTGAACACCTGGAACACCTGGGCCAGGCCTTCGGCATCCTCCCGGGTGGGGATAGCAAAGTAGACGGCCCGGGCCAGGCGGCCCTCCAGCTGCACCCGGGGCCCGTCCACGAGGAAGGTATAGAGCACCTTGCCCCGGGGGTTGTAGGTCCGGTGGATGAACAAGACCTCCGGGAAATGGGCAAAGACGTCGTGCATGAAGCGGCTCTGGTAGCTGAAGCTGTCCAGCTGAGGAGTCTTGCCCACCTGCTGCAGCAGCACCGGCTGGCTCAGGTCCTTAAGCAAGAGTCCATTCAGCACCGTGAAGGCCATGGGGAACGATGGCAGAAACCGGCCGCCGGGCGCAGCACACTCTCTCCGGACGGCTGCTGTCCGGGAGGCCGGGCGTCTGTCGGGCTCCGAGTCAGTGGAGGCTCCCGGCTGGACTGTGGCTTCCAGGCTGTCTCCCCAAGACGGGCCTACGGAGAGGAACAGAGGCTGAAGGAGACAGCAGGGACGTGGCTCCTCGCTACTGACCCCGTGTTTACTGGACACTTAACTGTGCATCAGCACCGTCGGGGGGCAGACACACAATGGCCACGTCCACAAACAAGCAAGTCTGAAATAATGTGGGTTCCCATGGCCACCAACCTGAGCGAGGGAGAACAAAACGGGGGGGTGGGGTGGTTCCTTTAGCTCAGGTGGCCCGGGGAGGCGTCTCTGGGGGGCCACACTGAATGTGAGCCCAGAGGCTAAGATGCCAGCCACGGGAAGATGTGGCTCCAGGGGATTTACACGGATGTGAAGGCTAGAGCTGCATATGCCCCGCCCCAAGGATTTGTACAGCACTTTATACTCACGGATGACCCCCTGCCATCCGTTCTTTGCTTTGGTCCCGGTCTGCAGGAGTACAAGAGAGCTGCAAGGGGCCCACACTTGCTGTGTAACCCTGAGCAAGCCGGTCGCCCTCTCTGAGCCTCAATCCCTTCCACCGCCAAATGCGCTACCAGCGAGGCGCTGCCTCTCCAGCCCCCGCGTAGCTCCCTGGTCAAGCGTCTCCTCTCACACTGGCCCCAAGGTGGGCTACTGTCCCCATTCTACGGATGAGAAATAGAGGCGTGAAGGTTATGAGAACTGCCCGCCGTTATTCTGTATGTAGCAGGAAGCCGAGTCTTTGGCTCGGGATCCTGACTGCTGCCTGCAGGACCGGTGGAAGTCAGGGACGGGGAGGGAACGCCGCCTTTGACCTCTCACCTCTGACCCGGCGGGAGACCCGGGAATCTGACGCTCCCGTTCCGAGTCCGGCGGGGCCGGAGCCCGCTCTCCCACGCTCTGGGAGCTGCGTGATAGCCAACTGTGTTCAGTCGCCTCACACTTCCACCCTCCAGAATCACTCACCCCCAGCCTGGCTCCGCCGCCATTTCTCCCTATTTGACCCTGCCTCCGATCTGACCGACCTCTACGCTCACCAATCACGGCGCCAGCTTCGCAGCGACTCGGGCCAATGGTCTGAGGAGCTCGCGCTCGGTCCTCGGCGCCACGGACCAATCGTAACCTGGCAGTTTGTAGGCGGCTGCTGTTACCAAGGTTACGAGAGGCTCGTCTGGCAGCAACCAATGGAGGCATCGGAGCTCTGTGGCTGAACTCTGGAGCTCCCCCTTCTGGTAGACTCAGGGATGAGCACGTTACTATGGAACTCCCTGGATGGCCGAAAATGCAAAGAAAAAATAAAGAACAAGTTTTATAGAAATCCTATTTTTCTTTTTTTGGTCAAACTCCAGTCTCAGGGGGTGAGAAAAAGGAGCATATGCAGGTGTAGTCTACCTCCTGGAGACACTGAGGCCCGGATCTCAGCCTCTGCTGCTGCCTCAGCGTTCAGGAGCCCAGCCCCTGGAGCCAGACCTTGGTCTAGTCCAGCTCAACGCCTTCCAGAATTTTACAGGACAAGCCCAGCCTGGCACCCAGGCCTGTTTAAGATCCTGGTGAACTGGTGCAAGAGCCAACTGACCGCCATTTTTTGTCCTCGGCTCCTACTGAAGACGGCAGTCTGAGAAAGCTGGGTGGGTAACAGGTGACAAGTAGGCTCACCAACTAGCAACGCCAAAGGTCAGTTTGTCAAAAGTCACTGTGTCAAAAATGTTCCAGATTTATACAAATCTGGAGGAAAAATGTGAGGTGAGAACAGGCCAGCATGCCGATTTTTACACGTGAGCCACTTGCCTACAGCCCCTGCCAGTTGCAGTCGAGTCGGATTCAGGTTTCTCCCCTCCCGGTCTCTCTGGCCTCCTCCTGCTGCCTGGAGAAGAGGGCAAGCGACTGCTGAGGTTTGCACTGGAAGCTTCAGGTTCTATTTGGCTCCACAACTCCATTAGACTGATAACACTGAAAGTCCTTTAAAATTAATAAATCCACTCTGTCGTGCCCACTCCATGGCCATCAAGCCAGGAGTCCCACTGCTGTGCAAACCCCCTTCCTTCCCTATCAATCAAGCAGAACGCATTTTCCCTGCTCCTTTGATTTTAGTAGTAAAACTTTATTTAATATGAATAAAAATAGATACAAATAACAGATTCTTCATAAACAGCAGCAACAGTCAAGGACCACCCTCTTTCCCTCTGTCCGGCAGATAAGCCCCTTCTCCAGGCCCATCTGTCTTGCCCTGTCCTGGGGCGGGGTTCATCCCTAGGGGGCAGCTGAGATCTGATGGCAGCGGTTGAGGGGGACGAGCGGTGACCTTTCAACACAGAGAAAACTTTGGCCTTGAACAATGAATGAGGTGCCCACGGAATGCCAAAGGGAGGGCTGCAGGGGGACACAGCCGAAGGACTATCACACGGTGGGGCGCTCCTCCCCGCTGCCGCAGCCAGGGAGACACTGGTCAAATGCTGCTCCCCAGCGCGGTCGCCCTCTTTGAAGCCTCACGTCTCTGAGGAGAGGAGTCTGTGGTCCAACACGCCATGCAAGTGCTTCAATCGTGGATCACGGCTTCAGCAGGAGGGAGCCCCTCCCCCTCCTCCAGCTTTCCCCAGAGGAAGGGGAGGCACCCCACGTCCCGGAAGTCCCCCGGCGGCTGCGGCTGCGTGGACTCGGGCGGCTGGCAGGGGTCTGCCCAGATGTCGGCAATCTTGCGCAGGGTAGAGTAGCGCTCCTCGAGCTCTGGGCCCTCAGTCTGCATCAGCAGGTTCGCTAGCTCCCTGCTTAGGTCCTGAATCGTGCTGTTCCGCCCCTGCCTCTCGGGCTGGCCTGTGCTCGGGAGCCCTCCCCGGTCCTGGAGCTCCCCGTTGGGCCCAAGAAGGTGCTGGTATTTCTTCTGCCACCGGCGGCACACCATGGCTTCGCCCACTGGCTGCTGGCTGGTGTGCAGGAGGGCCAAGATGTGCCGGCACGGCAGGTGGTACCACTGCTGAAAGGAACAACTGCAGCTACAGCCGTCTTTGCTGACCTGGTGAGAGTCCTCGAGCAGCTGCACGTCCACCGAGGAGCCGGCCACGCCCACCAGGTGGGTGGAGTTCTGCACCACCTCCCACTCGTTGTGACACAGCCTGTAGGCCAGCTCAGAGCCGCTCTGGTGCAGAGTGTCCAGCATGCCGCCCTGGGAGGGCTGCGCCTGCGCCTGCTGCGGCTCCGCCTCCGCCTCCTCCCCGGGGAGCCTGTCGAGGCCCCCTCCACAGACTCTGAAGGCCTTCTTGGACCTGGGCGGCATGCTGGCAGGCCGCGGTCTCTTTAACTTGGGAGGAGCCGTGGGCAGGTTCTTCAAGCCTTTGGTGTTAAAGAAGTCTATGTAATCCACAAAGCGAAGGATGCAGTCCAGCAGGGACTGCTGCTCCCGGAAGAGGCTGGACACCTTGCTGGTGACGATGTCCAGGCTGTCCATGTAGGTGCTGCACGCGTGCAGGCCCTTCCGTACATGCATGTACCACAGCAGCTCACAAGAGAACCAGTGGGCCTGCAGAAAGCTAAAGAGATCCTCATCTAGGAGGGCTTGGGACATCTGACAGAGATTTTTCAGGCTGGCGTCGGACGTGACAAACACAGCCTCCCGCAGGGCTTCCTTCATGAGCCTTTTGAAGGACGGATTTGCCGGGCTGCGCTGCAACTTCTTCTCCAAGAGGCGGGTTGTGTGGTAGATGGAGAGGAGGATGCGGGCAGCAGGGAAGATCTCCTGGAGGACGGCCCGGTAAGGGAACGAGGGGTCCACAAAGACCACCTTGACCTTGGGCCAGTCAGCGTTGAACTCCGTGAAGATGCTCAGCATCTTGGCCACAGAGGTGGCCGTCTCCGCCTTGAGCATGGCGAAGTGCACCACCCGGCCCTCGCGCTCCTTGTTCTCCACCAGGAAGGCGTAGAGGATGTGGCCCCGGGTGTTCTCCACTCGGTGCAGCAGGAGATTCTCGGGGAAGCGGGTGAACAGGTCGCTCATCTTGCTGCTCTGGAAGCTGAGCCGGTCGAGGTCCTGGTTGTTGCCCACGCTGAAGGAGGCCATGGAACCCTCATCTACCTTAAGAAAGTTCTTCATCACTTTTGCTATCTTGGCCAGGTCAGAAGGAGTGATGCCCTCCTGCTCTGCTTTTGAGGGCACTTGCACCTTTTCCAGGCAAAATGATGGTTCGACTGGCAACTTCTCTGCCGTGGCAGGGTCTGCCTCGGCTGCAGGCTGCACGGGTTGGAGTTTCTGCATGCATATCGTCTTCTGCGGCTTGCTTGTGCTATCTGCTCCATGACCAGCGGCTTTGGAGTCAACATGGATGTGATGGGTGTTCAATTCACTGATAAACAGTCTATCTAGACTCTCGTTGTACCGCAGGAGCAAGTAGGCCGGGCACGTGTCCGCCTTCCGTGTTCTCTTCCTGTTTGATTGGGTCCGAATACAGACAAATTTCACCTGCATATATCTAGGGAAGGTAGAGGGAATAGTAAGAAAGGTGCTGACCACCCCCTCTCTCTTATAAGATAAGGCACTACAGGGATTCATATTGGCTGAGAGATTTCCTGGAGACCACCACGTAGCATAGAATGTAAAAAGAAAGATTCACATGAACTCTACAGTCCCAAAACATTCAGCTCTTTAAGACCTCACCAATGTCAACTCCCTTCAGGTTCCTCTATGGTAGCTCTAATGCCAACTCTCCTTTTCCTCTGTTGCTATATATAGCTATCACCAACTCAACCTGATGCAGCAGGATACAAGGGAAAATAGACAAGTGGCAGCTGCAGAGTGCCTGGCTGGTTACTCCCTGGTTGAAGTGTCCCCCTTATCCCTATCCTTAGGATGCTACTTCTTTCTCCTCCCTCAGATACTGGTGATAAAAAGTGAAGTTCTGGTGCCAGCTCTGTGGTGCAACAGGTTAAGCCACCACCTGTGGTGTCAGCATTCCATTTGGATGCTGGTTCAAGTCTTGGCTGCTTCCACTTTCCATCCAGCTCCCTGCTAACGCGACTGGGAAAGCAGTGGAAGATGGCCCAAGTACTTGTGGGGGCAAGTGGGAGAACTGTAAGAATCTCCTGGCTCCTGGCATTGGATTGGCCCAGGTCCCCCTGTTGCAGCCATTTGAGGAGTGAACCAGCAGATGGAAGCCAGCGCATCCTCTCTCTCTAACTCTGCCTTTTAAACATATAAATAAATCCAAAAAAAAAAAAAAAAAAAAAGATGTTCTAAGGATGCAGGAGGAGATCAGTGGTTATCAAGTGAACTCTTCAAGGCCTTCTGGGGTTACAGTGTGTCTGGGCTTGCTCTCAAAAAAGGGTTCTTTGCTTACCTTTTTTCTAATGAAAAACAAATAGCATCCTAAGAAAGTCTGATAACCAGGAACTGACATTGTGGTACACAGGGTTGGACCACTACCTGCAACGCTAGCATCCCATATGAGCACTGGTTTGAGTCACAGCTACTCTGTTTCCCATCTAACTTCCTGCTAATGCACCTGGAAAAGCCGTGGAAGATGGCCTGAGTACTTGGGCCCCTGCTACTCATGTGGAAGACTCAGATTGTGGCAATTTGGGAAGTGAACCAGAGGATGGAAAAATCTCTCTCTCTGCCTCTCTCTCTCTGTAACTCTGCCTTTCAAATAAATAAATAAATCCTAGACTTGATCTTAGCCAAAGGCTGAGAAGCAATCAAATAAATAAAACAATCCTAAAAAAAAAAAGAAAGAAAGAAAGTTTGATAAGCATTGGGTTCTCTTTGGGGTCCTTTTAGCATTGTCTATTCTAGGCTGAAAGTATTGATTCAAAGGACAGTGGTAATAAATTGCATAGTCAACCTTTCTACTCAGCTATCCTCATTTTTTAAAAAAGATTTATGTATTTGAAAGTCAGAGTTACACAGAGAGAGAAGGAGAGGCAGAGAGAGAGAAGTCTTCCATCCACTGGTTCATTCCCCAATTGGCGGCAACAGCCAGAGCTGGGCCGATCCAAAGCCAGGAGCCAGGAGCCTCCTCCGGAGCCCAAGGACCTGGGCCATCTTCCACTGCTTTCCCAGGCCATAGCAGAGAGCTGGATCAGAAGTAGAACAGCTGGGACTCGAACCGGCGCCCACATGGGATGCTGGCACTGTGGGTGGTGGCTTTACCCACTATGCCATGGCGCCTGCCCCAGCTATCCCTATTTAATCCATGCTCTGAGGCCCAAGTTAGGGTTCTACATTCTCTGGGAAGCCTTTATGGGTGTCCCCAACCCACAGTAACTGCTTCATAGCATTTATCTAAAAGGCTCGGCAGACTTTCTGGGTAACAGTACACCTACCAGCAGAACAAAGACCCTGGAGGAAGGCTGTCTGGATTTGCACCCCCTCTGCCATTCAGAAGCTGTTTCTTTGGGCAACTCACTTTACCTCTCGGTGTGCAGTTTCCTGGTCATAAAATGAGATGACCTCACTAGGGTTGTTACGAGGATTAAACGAACCACAGGCAAAATATTGGTTCAGCCTTCTATTCATGCTAAATAAAATGTAGCTACTCCTTCTGTTACAACTCCTATACCTTGGGACATTCTCTTGAATGTTTATGCAGTGCTTGCCCAATTGGATTGGGATGTCTTCCAGTGGCAAGACTAAGTTAGGCCTTATTTTATTCCAAGCACCTAACACAAGCAATTCCTTCATCAGATACTTATCGATGACGCACCAGGTGAATGATTCAGGCACCACCAGCGGGTGGGATGGGTCACACCCTCGTATCCCCAGGGAGTATCTCATCCCAAAGAGTAGGGGGTGGAAAAAAAATCTCAGTCCCTGGCATGACCTGGCACAGCCTGGGAGTCCCACCCACACTCCTCCAAACACGCCCGTCCAGCTGGTCCTGTTTGCCCATCCTGTGGGGCGAGTTAAGGAAAACAGGATGTCAGTCCCATAACAACAGGGCGGAGGGGCCTGGGTCTGAGAATGTCTG